CCATGATGGAGTTATTGATGATGGTGAAGTGTCAGCAGAGGGCAGTGTGCATCTACTTATAGACATGAAGAGACAGTAAAAAGCCTTGAAGACAAACTTCTCCCATGTGTGCAGACCAGAACGTTTCAAAGTCAGAACCAGAAGTGAAAGTTCCTTCATGTGATGTCCACATGTTCTCACTCAACCTCACCTCTTCCTCTGGGTTTCATCAAGACAGGTGTACTCAAATGTATTTTGCATGAATTGTWTGCATCGCTGCTCCTCAGAGTTAAAGTCWCACAGAGTCTGAACCGTTTTCACGCACTCGCACAGAAAACTGCATCAGGATGATGTTGACAGTAACTCTGAGTGTCATGATGGTTTTTCTGAGTCAGGGTGAGAGATTTTGAACATGGTGTTAATGTGTTGTCTTTATTTTCCTCCACAGGCTGTTGGAACTCTTTCCTCTGATGCTCTTTCATTCATTTCTGATTTCAGAGTCTGCTGCCAACAATTTTCTGACTCAGACCGACACAGTCAAGTCTGTTAGACTTGGAGGGACTGTGAACATCGGAGCCAGAGGGAGTTCAGATATTGATGATGATCTCAGTTGGTACCTTCAGAAACCTGGACAGGCTCCCAAGCTTCTTATATACACAACATCAACTCTTAATTCAGGAACTCCGTCTCGATTCAGTGGCAGTAGATCTGGTTCTAGTTACACCTTAACTATCAGTGGTGTTCAGGCTGCAGATGTTGGAGATTATTACTGTCTTGGTGATCATGGAGGTGGAGTGTTCACACAGTGATTTAGAGTTGTACAAAAACCTCCCTCAGTTTGACTGAAGTGAAACTGGTCCACTGCAGCTGCACAGAGAATAACTGGTCCAGTGAACACAACACACGAGTCTTCAAGCAGAAGAATCTTAACTGAAACAAAGCCCACACACACTTCTCATTTTGAACTAACTTCATTCAGTTCCCTCTCTGAAGCTACTGACATAACCTGGCACCTTACATCAGTCCAAACCAAAAGTTCCAGTTTCTTGTTCTAGATTTTGAAATAATACCATTGCTATTTATTATACCCAGCGGCTTCTCAACATGTAGATGGATGTAAAACTAAAATGCAGTACTTCAACCAAAGTTCAACTGGTCCCTTACAAAACCACATTTTTATTTAATTGAACAAAGTTTGTGGAAATCATTTCATTAGTTTTTGTTTGATCATGTTGACAAAGAAACAAAGAAACAGAATTAAGTTTATATTTGGGTAACTGTTTTTTAATGCAAGCACATGGTTCGAGAATACATATTTTGGTTTGCAAACAAACAGAGATAAAGTGTCCTCTTCTTTTCTTCTGTTCCTTGATGTTGCTGCGTGCATTGTTCAAGGCAAGGATTAAATGTTATTGGATTGGTTACAGGTGACGTAGGCACAGACACTGTTGCATAGGAGAGAGTCAACTTTGGATCTGTTCCCAGGTCAGGATGGACACGGTGACATCAGCAGACGAAGGGCGACTACAGAATTAACAAGGCATGCAAACAACACACGAGAATAAGACAGACATCTTGGACGACTGACAACACTGGCATGCCATCATTTCTTTTCACAGCTTTATCAGCTTTACCTTTTATAAACAATTATATGCAAGAAACTCTAATTCCACCTTTTTAGAGAGAGAAAAAGTGCAGTTAACCCATGCCATTTCTGGCTGTGGTAATGTCTCAAACACACTTCTCTCACCAGCCTGCTTGGTGCAAGGTCACGCCGGCGACTTCAGGTTTGCTTAAGGCTGCTTCTCTGGGCCAGAGAGGAATTATTCACCCGGTAAAATGCCAAGTCCTGACGCTAAGGCCTGTTAGTACACGGCCTGACCCCTGAGCACATGACACAGCCTAACGTCATGCTCAGATCAAAAGGACTACAAAGAGTTGGACATGTCCTTACCTTTACGTCTGCCCTCTAGTAATCCCGCCTGCACAGTTCAGGTTCTTCACTGTTACACAGTGGATGTCACTGTGCATCTGTGGAAAACAACAAATGTTGCAGCGGTTATTTATGCAATAAGATAGATAGATGTTCTGCACTCTTCAACTCTTGTCAGTTGCCAGTGTTTTTAAAGGCAACCTGAAAGGAAAAATAAAAGGAACTATTTTATAATAACAAATATCAATGCATATGAATATATGGATACTTGCATACTGTCCAAACTAAGTGTACAACAGAAGCTAGGATTAAATCAATGAAAGAAAAGCAACAACAAAAAAAAACAAGCAAAAAACCCGGATTGAAAAAACATAGCAAAAATCTAAGGCAGTTTAAATTTGAAGACAATCCCAGTCTGCACAGGTCACCAGTGTATCACAGGATCAACATGCAGAGACAAACCATTCTCACCTACTGCCAGTCTGGATCGAAACCAGATCTGCATGTCTTTGGATTTTTGGAGGAAGCTGGAGTATCCAGAGAAAAATGGGATGAATTGGGGGTGGGTAGTGACAGCTCACAATGATCTATCAATGGAGGAGCTCATCAGTGCCTTATTCTTGAGCCTCTTAAATGAGCCTGAGTGGCTGTGAAGGAGACTGTTACCATTGGATAGGGATAATCCTTGCAGGCTGCACTTTACCAGGAATCAATTAGTTAACGCTTCCTCTCTCAGACTGGGTGAGTTCATTCAGTGCGAGACAGGAGCCCCACTGGATCTGATTCTGTCCTCCGCCTCATATCTTGTGGGACGCACACTGATCTACCTCACTCAACTCAACTGGGAGATCCGGACATCTGTAGTCGCTCAGGGGGGAGGGGGGGAAGCCGACCGATACTGTATCTGGATGGAGGGGCTGAAGAAGTGCATGAAAACCATGGTGTCAAGGAAAATCAGGGAGTACGTGAAGGACTACTGCAAGAGGAATGGCCTTCTGACTCTCTCAGTCTTTGCCGTGGTGACGGGCTGCGTGCTCGGATTCCTCCTCCGGTCGCTCAACCTGTCCACACAGGTATGGATGAATAAAAGGATGGATGTTCAGTGAGGATGTGAAGTATCAGGTACAACAGAGCAACCAGAGTTACCAGAGGAGGCTGAGAAAGAGTTTAAGCTACCATCATTAATATTTTAACACCAATGACTGCTTGTATGTAGGAGGTGAACCCACAGTGAGTTGCTAAAGAGCTGTCAGACACACAAAGTTAGCAACAAGCTGGTGAACATAATGAATTTAGCTGCTGATATTTCCCTCAGGAGGAGGAGACCAAAACTGAGCTCAAAGAGAAGGAATACACATTTACACATTTGTGTAAAAAAAAAAAAAGGCAAATGTATTAACATGTCAGTTTCCACCCAAAGCAAATCTGTTGTGGGTTTAAAAGCTTCATGTTATCATTTCATTATTAATTACATTGATTAGTTTTTTCTCCAGCTATTCAACAACTGACAACAATTCAACAACACCTATTCCACCTATTCAACAACTGATTTTGAAGTGTTTAAATGTCTCGTAGAGGCCACATGTAATCCTGCTATCATGTTACTGTGATGTAAGAAGATCTAATTGGAAACAGACTTAGTCAGCGATTAGCATCCCACGCACTAAGCGCTAAGTAACCTTTGACCTTTGTATCTTTGCAGACATCCTGTAAAAATCTTCATCTGCTGAGCAAATACCTGCCAATATTGTTGGGAATACAAACAATAATGTTTTTACCATGTTGAATCAGTCATTGATAACCAAGTTGACATGTTTGACATGGATGTCTTTCCTTTGAAGACAACTTCCTGATCGTATTGAATCCCCACTTAAATTCATATTTGTTAAGGTTTGAGGCAAATAAATATTGGCGTGAAAAAATATAAAGGTCTGGAATCTGAAATATATATTTAGACACAAGCAACACTCAAAGGAGGCAAATAAACAAATGATTTGGCAAAATAATTTAAAACAGGGTTATATTTAATTTAAGATCAAGCAAAAACAAAATTGGTCCTTACTGATGCACTTGTTAAAATATCAACAAAAATAAGAAAATCATTAGAATTTAGATTAATTTTTTATCAGTAAGTATAGATATTATCGACAGTATCTGCAAAACATATAATATAAAATAATATAATAAACTAAAGGGAACTGCTCAATATCTGATTTATTTTACTAACATTGTAAATTGTATATGTTGTAAGTATGTTGTTGAAGTGCACAAACTGTCCCAGGTCCTGTTTCCTTTTTATTTGGTCGTTACATGATGCTAAACTCTGCAACAGGGAAATATATACGTTTTGCTTCTCACAAAGGCCAAGATCTACTTCTCGTTCCCTGGAGAGCTGCTGATGAGGATGTTAAAGATGTTGATTCTGCCGCTCATCACCTCCAGGTAAGAAACGCTCTCCCCTGCATCAGGAACTTGAATGAACACGTTGTGAAGCTGTTATAATAAAACTGTCACCTTCTATCTTGCTCTGGTCATGGGTAAGATATAAGGGAGATAGAGGAGACTATGAATGCATCACTACTGAGAGATTTACCATCAAACTCACAATCCCGTTCATAAGTACAGGGTGTTTTGTTTGCGATATTAAGCATGAAGACATTTGTGTAACTGTGTTTTGCAACGTTTTCCTGATTGATTCCTAATTGAAGTGAAAATATACACGGCGGAGGTGAGAGGTGTGTCTGGTAGTTCATGATGCTTTGTTTAGACAAGATGATGTTGACGTTGAATCTGGTCTGGAATTTGTTTCTGGAAACATTACTCTCTCCTTCTCCCAGTATATTCAGTTTAATGTAATCAACTTTTAAGATCATGTGATAAGAATATATCTGCAACTGATCAAATTTGTATGTAATGCCCAAAATTAAAACATGAATATGTCTTTTAAATGTATTTTTCTTCCAAACTGATCTTTTGTTGAGACTGGAATGTTTTTCTTGATTATTCCCCAAAATTAAATTTTTTCTAAAGCGGCTAATGAACAATTAATCAACACATGCAACTCTAATAGTCTGAAATCTGAAACAAAGCATTTTACAGTTTTTCCACATCTCCTGTTTTCCCCTCCAGTCTTATGTCCGGCCTATCAGCCATGGACACGAGGGCGAGCGGCCGGCTCGGAGTCCTGACCATCACCTACTACCTGTGGACGACCTTCATCGCCGTCATCGTCGGCATCGTGCTGGTGCTCATCATTCACCCGGGGACAGGCTCAGAGAAAGACGGTCACCACGCGAGTTCAGGCCCTGTTATGACCTCTGCTGACGCGCTGCTGGACCTTATCAGGTAAACATCTGTCCAGTCGTTGTTGAGACATTTGAAAAAGCCATAAATGTCGACCTTGTGAAAAATATCAAGATAATTACATGAAACCATGAATGTCAGATGTCAAACATACTGTAGTGAAGTAAAGATGGACGACATGACTGCTCCTCAAAAGTGAAGCTAAATCCTCTTGATCGCCCCCTGGTGGCTATAGGCCCATAAACCTCACCTCCTCCATGTGAGCAGATGGGACATGGGCGAAACTACTAAGTCAAAGAGCATGTCGCAGATGGACTCTGTGAGTTTTAGTTATTTGATGCTTAGAGACAGAGTGAAACATCATGATTGACAGCTAAGACTGACTCATGATTGGTCGAGCGTGTGTATCAACGAGACCTCTCTACCTCGGCTCAATCCCCGGTCGTTACAGCGCAGACCCTGGCAGTTGGTAGGATTCATTCTCTCATGGGCACTATGAATATATGAACCAGATTTCAATCTACTCTATGTATTAGTTGTTGAGAAATGTCCGTCTGGAAACCCATCGTTGCCATAGAGATACGCATCTAGCATGGATATGAAAAACTAATTTCAACTACAGTCTAATTGTATTTTCCCATATGAATAGAGAACCCCCCCCCCCCTCTCATGGGATTTTCAAGAGATTCAAGGTTTGAGTATCATCCTGCGAGCCACCTTTCACAACAAACCAATGATAAAATCCTCCATAAGTTGAGCCTCCTGAACCGTTTGTTGTGACATTTCATGAACTCTGAGGATTTCAAAAATTACAATAAAGCAAATAAAATGGCAACAAATTTGTCTTTTTTTTTTAAATTAACGCTAGAGAAAATTAAATCGACACGTGAAAGCACATTAAACTCTTCATCTGCAGTATTGTCTTTAAAAACCTGAAAAAAGTGCTTGTATGATAGTTGCAGTGTCATTCCCATGCAGCAGCTCAGCCAAGAATAAGGAAACACTTAACTGTGATCTGTTAAGCCCGCACTTTCTCAGATGGCCTTTGTGCAGTGTTACAGTGTACAAGACGGAGCCTGCATGCTGCTGGTGAGCATGTGCGTTCTGGGCTTACTGCGGTCGCCATGTCAGAGATCCACTAATACCTGCGTCTTAAACCTGATTATTTTGGAGACGCGTGTCTTGGGTGTTTGACGAGCTTGCAGCCGGGGTTCAGTGTCACTGACGTATGTTGTACAAATACACTCCCAGTGCATGATGCTGGTCATTAAAGGCCTCTTTCTGTTTTCCTGTGTTGGACGAAAAGATATCAGGAGGAAGTCCATGTGGGTTAGGGTTAGTTTTGCTGTTATATAATATATTTCAAGTTCATATAACAGCATTTTACTGTTGTAGCAGCTCAAAGTCAGCTCCTCTATACTGTTGGGTGGTTTCATTACCTTCATTTCCAAGGAGGTTGTGGTTTCTTCTATGTTTTTTGGTAGTTGGTGATCAGGATTGTGCAAAAACTGATGGATGGATTTCCACAAAATGTGGTGGAAGGATGAAGTAAGGGTCATAAATCTGGATCTTGTGGATTTAAATGTGGTTTCATGAGGAGACTCCTTGTTGGAGGTACAGTGTGTGCTCTACTGAGTGCCACTACTGAACTAATTTACATTAAATTAACGTTAAAACTCATAACTAACAACTCAACTCTTGGTCGTTTTAAACATTAAAAGCAGATAACAGCAGTGATATAATATCCAGATTGGATCTACTTGTCATGTTGTTTCTCCACATACATGATATGACATTGGTCTATGTGCTCTCTTTTATAGGAACATGATCCCTTCAAATCTAATTGAGGCAACTTTTCAGCAGGTGAGTGGACAAAAAGAGGAAACTCAGAGCGGACTGCCACACACTTCATTAATTCACATGTTAACTGATCTCTGTGCTTGTTCTCTTGTTCTCCAGTACCGGACAGATTTGGTGCCTATTGTGCTAAACTCTGATGTAAAGGAGTCCCAGGCCAACTATGTGTATGTCATGCCTGACTACCACAACCCCCACCTGGGCCACCCGGTCTTCCTGGAGATCACCCCTGCGCCTGACATCAAGTATAAGATCGTACCCAGTACGAGCAAGGGCATGAACGTGCTGGGGATCGTCATCTTCTCAGCCACCATGGGTGAGACCTTCACACAGAATAACATTTCAAAACTCTACTTCCTATCCTGCCCGCTTCCATTAAAGACTTAAAAATGGCCACCAAATGACCATTGATTAGTAATAAAGCTTTACAGGTCATTTATACTGTATGTCATTATTACATTCATGGCATTATATGCAGAGACAACTTTTGGGTTGCCAGGTTGAAAAAATCCCCCTGTCTGGTTTTTATCTCGCTCCAACGGGATGCTTCTTCTCTTTGGCTCTTTCCTCCAGTGACAAGACTCTTTCAGATACAAATAGATAACATTATTTTTATTGAAAGTTATGAACTCATTTTCTTTGATAAGGAAAAATACATGGTTTCAGTAGTAATATGAGATTATATTAGATTCTTTGCTGCATCATGCAGAGTTGGTGTTTAAACTACTTTGTACTAGACATACCGTAGGTAGTAGTGTGATGGTTCACAACCTAAGAGCCGAGATTCTCCTGAGGGTCACAAAATAAACCTGAGGTGTCATCAGAGTGGGAGATAGAAGAAAAAAGTGTTTTCTCAGATTTTATTTTTTTGGGGAAAAGTATGATAACTCAGGTAGAGTACAAGCTTCAAGTATTATTATTCTTCAGTACTTGAGTATAGATGTACTGAGCTACTTTCCACCACTGGTTATGACTTACAAATATTGTTAATTAATGACATGGGATAGTTTTCATAATCTGGAAAAGCAAAGTTTTGCTCTTATTAATGGCTTATATCTGTTCTATCTAATCAGGAGTTGATTTATTAAACATTAATCACAGACAGAAATACAGTTTTAAAGAGTTCCTATGGTTACTGACTACAAACACATCTCAGGTCTGCTGCTGGGGAAGATGGGAGAACGTGGAGCACCGCTGGTCAACGTGTGTCAGTGCATCAATGAGTGCGTCATGAAGATCATTAATGCAGCTATGTGGTAAGTCTGTACTTTCTCTCTCTCTCTCACACACACACACACACACCTTTAAAAATACACTATGTCCTGTAGGTACATCCCAGAGGGACAAACAACATACAGTTCACCAAGCAGAGCTGGATTATTTCTAAAAATAAACCTCACACAAGAACTCAGGGAGTCACCGGTGGCGTCTCAAGTGTCTTTACTGCTTCACACGAGTGTCGCCTCTTAGATTACATTTGTGAGAGTTGAGCAAGAAGCACTGTTATATGATCGTTACAATACAAACACATGTGGTTGGATGTACTATAAGGTGTATTATACAGTGTATAACATATGACTGTGTGAAGTATATGGACATCCACCCAAATATTATTCACATGCAGTGGAGGAGGAAGAACTCAAACATTTTACTTATTTCAAATTACAAATGAATAGATAGAAACTTGAGTTTTCCACGTAATTTTTAGTACTTGCTTTGAAATATACTTAAAATTTTGATTAATTGATGAGTTTTGTTGAATCTTGTGTTACAATGCTTTGTAAAAATGTAGTAGAGAAGAAAGCACCAATTTGTTGATATATGTCCAGAGGTAAAAGTAAAAAGTACCTTAAAATGCAACTCCTTAAGTTAAGTATAGATACATGAAAAATGCACTTAAGTAGAATACCAAGGTAAATGTATTTTACAACATCCCACCACTGCTCACATTTATGATTTTTGAATGTCTCATTCCAAACTCGTGTGCATAATTAAAATTTAGCCTTCCTCCCATGGCTGCAACGGCAGCTCTATCGTCCATAAAGAAATGCTTTTCTGTGCATTGAACACCAGGGGGCGGACGCTTAAATGAAATCAAATTACGAAATGAAAACTTTTAAGGTGCAATGTGGGGTTTTGTTGTTAAAAAATATTTACAATCGTACTCCCTGTTTAAACTCTTTGTGTCTGTCCTCGAGGTAAAAGATGTTAAATCCATTCTTTAAGATATGTTAAATTGTGCATTTTGTTTACATTTATGTTTGCTTGCTAATAGCCTTAGTTGGTGCATTGCTATGTTTCTCACCACCACAAACTCTTGACTGCTATTATAGTGTAAAAGCTGTTGCAGGAAGGACCTGGACTCGCTTGCACCACTATTGGTCAAAAATTCTGCGGGGTACCTTTAAGTTGAAACAAGAAAGAAGGATTTCTCCCCATAACGGAGTCAAACACATCTTCTTCTCTCTGCTCCTCCGTGCAGGTACTTCCCCTTCGGAATTGTGTTCCTTGTGGCTGGGAAGATTCTGGACATGCACGACCCCGCCCACCTTGGAGAGAAGCTGGGCATGTACTTCATCACAGTCCTGTCGGGTCTGTTTGTGCACGGCCTCATCCTGCTGCCTCTCTTCTACTTCTTCTTCACCCGCAAAAACCCCTTCCCGTTCATCAGAGGGCTGCTGCAGGCTCTTGTCATTGCATTGGCCACGTCATCCAGGTAAGAGCAGACAGATCTGTTGATGTTTTCATTTCCAATATTCCAGACGTGGCCCAGTCTTCTGGGCGAGTACATACTTCCACCGTCTTTTCTCTTCTTCCCCTGCAGCTCGGCCACTTTGCCGATCACCATGAAGTGTCTTCTGGAGAACTGCGGAGTGGACCGGCAGATCGCTCGCTTTGTGCTGCCAGTGGGAGCCACCATCAACATGGACGGGACAGCTCTGTACGAAGCCGTGGCGGCCATCTTTATCGCTCAGGTCAACGAGTACGACTTGGACTTTGGCCAGCTGGTCACCATTAGGTGAGAATAGATACTGAACTCGATGTGATGCGTTTGTTGAGTTGAAAGGTGTAACACACTTGACTCTTGTCTCATCAGCATAACAGCGACGGCAGCCAGCATCGGGGCAGCTGGGATACCTCAAGCAGGTCTGGTTACCATGGTGATTGTCCTGACCTCTGTGGGGTTACCGCCTGCTGACATCTCGCTGATCGTGGCCATCGATTGGGTTCTGTGAGTTCCACTGAAAGTTGTCACACCATATGAAGCATCAGTGGGTTTATTCGGTGGGACGGTGTGTAAATGATTCCTTCCATCTTCTTTACAGCGATCGCTTCCGCACGATGATCAACGTTCTTGGAGATGCCTTGGCTGCTGGGATTATGGCTCATTTATGTAAGAAGGACTTTGAGGAGGCAGCCGCAGCCACCACAGCAGTTGCCACAACTCCTGTCAACAACGGAGGTGGCCCCACACGGGTGAGGGGGACAGTTTCTATTTGTTCAGGTTAAATTGCAAAATGAAGATCCTGAAAACGTAGTTTTTTATTTACTTTTTCTACAAGATTAAATATGAAGCGACTATCAAAGCAAATTTGGGGGAAAGAGTTTTCCGCTGTGATGTGCATTTTGTGCATAAAGATGGATGACATGACAGCTTCCCTACAGTAAAGTCAAATGGTCTTGATCGTCCCCTGGTGGCTGGCTGCATAGGTCATAAACCCCGCCTTCTCCGTGTTATTGAATGAGACATGGACCAAACTAAAAAGTCAAACTACACTTAAAATATGTTTTCTACATTTTATACAATGGAGTGTGAGGGCCACTTACAGGAAAAACAACTGTGTGAAGGAATGTTAAATTCAAAGTGATTTCATAATGGGATTAGAAATCAATATTTGGATTCCAGAGGAACTTAATTCTCAGAATCTCAGAATTTCTCTACATATATCTACAATTTTAGAAGTATGTGTTTATATTTCCAGTAAATTTGGTTTTAATTATTATTTGATGCTATAAAAATAGGATAAAATGTCATGATTGACTTTTCTCCACACCATGATCTCTACTGCACTCACGATTGAATGGTTACATACGATTCTAATCTATAAGATAACAGACGGACATTTTATTTAACATAACTTCCAGTTTCATAGCAACTTCATTAACTTTCAGTGTCATTTTTGATTAATGCCCTAAATCATTATCTAATTCCTCTCCCACACAGAGAGACACAGTGATCTCCTTTGGGAATCAGAGCGTGGCGCTGTCCGATGCCCCTCTGATCGCACACCGCTGCGATTACGTGTTCGAGGTGGACGGAGAAAACCTGCTGGAAAGGCCGGTGGCCTGCTACAACCTTTGCCAAGTCTGAAGCACTTCCACAGGACGGACAGCTAGTGATTCTGCCTTGTACGGAGATTTACCTCTCAGGATGGAAGGGGCTGTCGTCCGAGGCCCTGAAAATCCAGTTGGGTTTCCATCCTTAATGAGACTAAAGATTGAGTGTGTTAATGTTGGAGTTAAACGGCGTAAATTGATTTTTGCCTGTGCCATGCCGAAAACAAAAAAACCCTCCATTACTTGACAATCACTGTACGTGTGCGTCTCCATTCTGTCGTGACTGGATGACGGGTTGCGAGGAGATGCATTAAGTTTCAGATGAAATGTATATACAGTACAAATGCACCTGCAGACACGATGATGTGTTGCAGCAACATGCATTATATGATTAGTGTTTATCAGTTAGCCGATCACAGCCGGCCTGTTCTAATGAGGTTCGACTACAAATTTAGATTGAAGTCAAGGTTCTGAGTTGCCTTAACTCTCAGTTCTGAAAATGAAGCTGAGAGCCTGACTGACTTGAAAGCAAACAGGAAGTAAAAGATGAGACTCACATTCTTTTTGTTGAGGTTAACCTTCACGTTAGACACGGTGTCTATGGATAGTTACTGAGGCAACACTCACAAAAGATATTTACATTATCGTAGCACCAAAAAGTCCCTTTAAGAATGTTTGTTTTTATACGTTGTGCTTTTGATTTTGTGTTGTTTTCTAATAAAAAAGCTGCTGTGCTCCAAGTTCTGTGAAAGTTTTGTGATGTGTTTGATTCACATGTGCTGTGGATCAGTGTATCTCTGCCTTAACCAGGCAATCGACAGCAAGTCACAACCGTTTCAGTCATTTCAAGTGGTGGTCATGTAATAATATTAAACTAAGTTATCTACATTGTCTAACAATAAGTAACGATTCCAGTGGCAGTAAACGCACTTTTCAAATAAAAGTTGAGGACTTCTCGCCTCCGGAGTTTCCCGACAGCCAAGACCACGTTCCTTCAGCTCGTAAATATAGACTTTATGGGGTGTTGGAGTTTAGTCCCTCTCCTCTGCCCACGTGTTGAGATGTCCTTTCTTATTTTCTTACTACATAACTTCCTTCTGAAAATATTCTATATGAGATGATCCTGGGATTCTCTGTGGGTCTTAACATCAGACCCATGTCTTTTTAGATTTTTTCAAAATTAATTTGGTGAAAGGTGAGCATGCAGCCAATAACAGGGGCTGCAGAAAAACAGATGATTGATTATTGCATTGTTGACGGTACTGAAAGTCGCAGGAGAAAATGTGAGCACATGTCACCACCATCTGGTCTCTGAAGGTGGTAACTGGGGCTGTGACCACGACCAACGCACCTCCTGAAACGCATTTTTGTTCCTGTCGTCATATCATCACCTCCGCCAGAGAGGTTGTTTGTTCGCAGGATTACACAAAAAACTACTGAAAGGATTTTCACAAAACTTGGTGGAAGGATGGGCTTTAGTTATCTTACAACAATGCAATTGCACCATGTTTTTATTTAAATGATCCAATGTTAGAAGACATTTAATGGACTTCAATTTAGTGTCCGTCCAAAACCAAAAGAATAAAACCCTACAAAAAATCAACAATCCATTAAAAACACAAGCAACAAGTGTAACCGCATACATTGTCAAATAATGTTTGCGCCTCCTCAGATGTAAAATTCACCAAATCCACTTATGAATTAAGGCGGAACGCAGTTTATTCCGACTGCCCCATGAAAAAAAAATTCACTTGCATCTTTTCATGCAAATCCAACAAGACTGCTGAGAAAACTAAACAGTACCGGAACGTCAGTAGAAAAAAAGAAATTATGAAACATGACAGTTCAAAACTACAACAAGTCCCTATTGCCTGCTTTGAACAAGCCACAAAGTATTGCACAAAGTTAAGGATTCACACATAACGAAAATACTAAATCAGAAGCACTTTTAAGACCAAAATCTGAAGCTGTGATGGAAATATAATATATCCTGTAAGTAATCGATTAAATACGCATTTTATGAAATGTCAGGTGGATTATTGCTGGGAAAATAATGGTTTTAAAAGTGAATCCTAAAAAGTGTGAGCAGGAACTGTCTCCAAGAATCATCTGCCACGTGTAGCTCCATCATGTGGTTCCTCTGTGGTCAAGTTAAATCTGAAAGAATAAATTACAGTACCGATGCCTATTCTCCACCTTGGAGAACGAGACAAGACTACCAAAGGCATCACTAGAAAAAGAGCAGTCTTATGCCAGTTATCTTTGCTAGATGGACAAGTTTAAATGTTTTTAAATACGTAAGTCCTCAGAAATGTTGCTTCATGAAATGTCTGCTGGACATTTTCCTTCAAGTGTCTGTGCAGCCTAAATCACCATATCTCAACTAAAGGTTTGTTCTCTCAGATGTTTTAAAGTCTCCAATAAAATCACCATAATTCTTAAGATACTGCTGGACCAGGGATTGTTTTTTTAATCAGTGCAGCAGATTCGTTACTAGAAAAATAAAATAACAAAACTCCAAACTGTATCTAAAAAAATATAAAAGAAAAAAGAAACAAACAAAACTTTCAGCAAAACAAATTAAAATTTAATGGTTTATGTTCAAAGTGAAACAACCAAAACAAAAAAGGAAGAAAAAGAAAAGCAAGTCTAAACTGTAATCATTAACAAAGGCCATTAATCTCTCTCCAAACTTGAGATGAGCACTCATTAAAACAAGTTTGTAACTTACATTGTAACAAATAAAAATCTATAGCTCTAATAAGAAAACAAACTCCCAACAAAAAGAAAAGAACTCAAAATGAAAGTAAAAACGAAAAAGAACGGCAAACTGAGCCTGAATGATGTTGCTCTCAGTCAGCGTCAGATATAACCTCAGTACCTCCTATTTTTTATTATGAAAAAGATGCGATTTTTACCTCGTGGAAATCTGCTCTGGGGTTTGAGGATCAAATGTCTCCCTGTCTTTGGTCCATCTCAATTCCCTACTCATCATTTTCACAGGATTCTGCTGCGATGCAACTTAGAATAAAAAGACATTTTACACAGGGATCACAAAAAAAAACAAAAAAAAACATCTTCCTCCAAAACTCGTTATGTTTGAAACTGTTAATCGAAGGGGGTGAGCAAAAGTCGTAGATCAACATCAAAAAGACTGATATTCATAGTAACCAAAAACAGACTGTTTAAAAGTGCTTTGCTTTTTTTTTTTTTAGATTGACTCAATACGGTGAGTGGTTGTGTAGTCTGCATCACTGGATGATCATTTAAGGCATCTATTTCTACTTCTGATGAGGAACCAGGACAAAACAACCACCGGCTCATTGCCAAATATGGTTTTCCTCTTCTGTAGACTCTGAATCATCCACTAAATCTTTTGAAAACTATTTGCAGGTCGCTCTTTATGCTTCTGGATTTTCATTGCACCCACGGCCTGCCTCTTTTATTCTAGTCCCCTAAGTTATACATGCAACAGATACAGACAGTATTTTGGATTTTTAGATCATTTTCGAACTTTATCCTGGGGATATCTTGGCCTAGCTTTTGCACTCAACATCCTCTCCCTAAAAAAATAAAACCCACTGGGTGTCCTCAAGCCACAAGCATGAGAATAAAGATTGGAAAAAAAACAAAAAACAAAACAGAACAAAAAACCATTAAATCAGCCTTAGACAAGTAACAAAAGGTGCAGAAGAGTCTCATTTCACTCGCAGTACACTAAAACCCAAACGGATGTGCCAGACTTGCAAACTCGTACTTAAGCTCTCTCAAATAAAAGCCTGGTGCAGGTCATTCCCCTCCCCCCCATCTCCTCTACACCTGATTGTCCAGCTCTCTACTTGTGGCCCTTGCTGGTCTTGAAGGACACTTGCAGTATCTTGTCTCCGAGCCGGTAGCCGTTCAGGCTTGCGATGGCCATGGCCGCCTCCTCGTAGTTCGTCATGGTGACGAAGCCGAAGCCCTTGCACTTGTTGGTGTTGAAGTCTCGGATCACCTTGACGTTGGTTACGGCGCCGAAGGGGCCGAACATCTGCCACAGGAGGCTCTCGTCAGCGTCCTGGCCCAGGTTGTAGATGAAGATGCACCAGCCGGAGGTTGAGTTGCCGGGGACGCTGACGCCTCCCATGCCCCCCATGTGATCAACACTCATGGGGGAAAACCTGGAATGAGACGCATTTCAATTAATCCAGGACCTTGTCAATCACTGGTTTACAAACATCAAGTATTCCTTTGGCCCTAAAGCAGAAATTAATCCTGTTTTTTATCTACAACCAAGCATAGTATTATTAAAATAAAATATGTTTGGATATGACTCGCAAAAGATCCAAGTCTTACTCAATGTCACAACATGCCTCACCTGAACCTCTGTGCCTGGTGGTGTACGGGCCCCCCGAAGCGTCGGGATTGGTTGTGGTAGAGCTGAGAAATGAGCTGTGTGTTTTTTGCCTGGTTAGGATTGGCGGCAAATTTCACTGTGATTGGCTCAGCGGTCCCCGGTGGTTTTTGGCCATTCAGGCTCTTAACGGCTTCTTCGGCCTCCGCTCTTTTGTCAAACCGGATAAAAGCCACACCACGGGACACACCTATGGACGAGAGTGCAGCTGGTGACAGCCTATTCTGGTACAAGGAGCATACCTACATTTCTGTGTAGCTGCTCTCTGGTCGCTACTTATTTCTAAAATATTTGTTATTTTCAAAAGCAAGGAAGTCATTCACCTGTCGTACCTGTACCCTGATCTACAAGTACTCTGGAGTTAATGATGTGCCCAAAACATGAAAACATGTCCTCCACGTCTTTCTGGGTCATGGACTTTGGCAGGCCGCTGATATACAGGTTGGCATCTTTAATTGTATCAGAGCTGGGCCGTGCGTATGAAACCTGGTGACAAGAAGAAACGATCCCCCGATCACAACTCTGATACACACGTAGAACAAAGTAACAAAAAAAGTACAAGAAATTAAATCTATAGAACTACTGAGATTTTAACAACTATTTTGGATTTACATGGAGAAGTATATCAATTGTTTCATCAGTTACAATCATCTGAAAAGTTTGGTCTAATTACTTAAATAAACATTAAATGTATTTACAAACTGCAAACAAACTAATCTGATAAACAAACGATCACAGTTTCAGGTATGAAGTCTTAGGTCTGAGCAAAAATGAGTGAAGTCAGAAGCATAAAGGTACATTACAGCAACATAAAAAATGAAATAAAACTGATAAAAAAAAGGTACTTCAAATACATATATGTATGAAATCAAATAAGTAAAATTAAAGTCAAACTCAACAGACATGTCAGATAGGGCAGTAAGTGAGCTGTGAAAGCAGTATCACTTTCTCGGGCTGACATGTTCTAGCTAGTTAGCGGACAGCACAGGAGCCAAAGGAGAGTTATATGACATGACATCTTTGGTTTGAGAATTGTAGAACACCTTATTGCACGTTACCTTGATAGTTTTGGACTGTAGCCTTAGTCCATTCAGTGTACTGATAGCTCTTTCTGCATCACTAGGGTTAAGATAGTTAACAAATCCGTACCCTAAACTGTGGCCTAGAGAAAAAAAAAGGAAAACAATAAAATAAAACAAAAAAACGTTGTGTCGTTCAAAAAAAGCTGCAAACAAATAAATATTTAAAAACAAAAACAAATCTTAACATTGCATGCTAGTTCTGAACAAACAAAGAAAACCATCTACAGTTCAACAGCGCAGGACTGGTTGGAATAAATAAAAACAAGTCTATGATGGTGAAAAGCTGAGAGAAACTATAGGACCCAACTCAAGCAGGAAAATAAATTTGGGATATTTTTTGAAATAAAAGTTACTATATGAAATCACAGAGAAGAAAGGAGTCAGGAAACACCCCTTTAGAATATATCCTGCCAGCAAAGACAAGTTAACTTGAAAATGAGGGATAAACCAAAAGTCATAAAGCTGGAACACCACTGATGTACTCAGAGGCTGTTGCCACAACTTGTATCTTGTTATTTGTAACAGGAATCCTTGGCCATTTAAAACAAAATCTCTTGTTTAAGTGGCGAGCTCATCTGTCACAGGTCTTATCGCTTCAGAGCGTAGCGTACCTGCGACTTTGTCTCGAATCAGCTTGGCGGACTCCACCTCCCCGATGCTGCTGAAGAGGCTCCGCAGCTCATCCTGCGTCATGCTCTGAGGCAGGTAGTTCACGATCAGGTTGGTCTTGGCGTCCTTCCCCTCGTCCCCCCCCATGTGGTCTTCATAACCGTTTGACATGTCATAAACCTCCTGCAAGTCAGCCAGGTGGGTCGAACGAAAAAAGGACACAAAGCAAGGTAAGCACCCAGAGTATGCAAAGCTTATGTTTAAATGGAAATACAAGAAGTCTTTCTAGCAATATAAATAAACCAAGGCACCATTCCCAAAAGCTACACATGCAAAAAGAGAAGGGCAGATGATATAGGAAATCAATTCAAACTAATTACTTTCCAACTCAATTGCTGGCAGCAGCACAAAGTCAAAGTAGAGTGAACAGTCATGTCCTACAATTTATACTCTTTGTCCACCCTGCTACCTCAAACAACCCCTTTACGTCACTGATAACACAATAACACAACACAATAACATAACAAGAGGTAAATCCAATTTTAAAACCTCCTATTAAATACATTTTCATCTGAAATTATGTTTAAATGCTTTTTCATCTGTAGTCTTTGAACCAGAACAACGTGCTAGCTTATCTAAATCAATGAAAAGCACAGACTTATCAGTCGATCAACAGGAGCAGTTCCTGCACAGTTGCTGCCGGCTCGTCCAACACAGGTACCCCTGCAGCTTCTTTCATAAATAAGGATTTAAAGCTATTTAATAGTTTGACTTGCTTCTCATTATCCTGACCTGTTCCTAGAAAGATTCTGCATGAGAGATGGCGAGTGTGCAAACAGGCAAAATATTTAGTTCAGATCAAGACTCACTGTTAAGGAACCCAACATAACGGCTATATACAAAAAGTTTACATTTGCAGAGCGGGTAAATGGATTCATATAGAGATTTTCTGGCCCAAATGTGCCTCCTAAATGTCTTGCGTTTCTATCATACGTCATTCACACTGCCGGCCCAGAAGTCAGGGTTCAACGTCTTGCCCAAAGATACTTCGGCATGCAGACAGGAAGGGATCACAACGCCACCCTTCTGGTCAGTGCTAACAGGCTCTACCTCCTGAGTCACAGCCATCTAAAGCTAAGTAACAGATTACGTCACGTTGCACTGCAATCCAGTCTGAAGGATCTTAGATTAGTTTAGCAAACAACATAAACTTCCCAGAGCCAGAACCAAACATTGCTTCATTCAGCTTCTGAAAGTTTCTCCTACATGCGTTCAGCACGGAGCGTCATGGTCGATACATTTACTGGTGGCTGCGATGGGATCAGGTTTGAAATGGGAACAGGTATGGCGGTCAAGCTGACAGAGGTCCATTCATGCAGGAGAAGGGCTGTGATTGTGTATTCTGGTGGGTAAGATACACCGCCTAACAGGATGAATGAGAGTCCTGTATTCAAACAGCAAACATGGGCAAAGCGTGGGGAGCTGACATGCATATTTATTTGTGGATTTCTCCAAATACCATCTCACCGTCTAATTCTCAGTATGAAGAGAAATCTTTAACAGGATAACAGGACTTTAGGAGTAAATTCTTTGTCCAACACAACCGACCAGAACATCTGATCACACCCATATGGTTTGTAGTAGAAACTCGCTTCTCATACTCACTTTCAAGTACTTGATGTGTCCTCGACGAACTGCCATTAAGACACTTCACTGCTCCTGAGGCTGGACAGGGATAAGAGGAAAAAAAGGAATCAAACAACTCAGTCAATTTATGACATAAAGAAAATACACGCTTCAAGATGGAAATCCAAATAACCATCATTTAGCTCGATAGGCTTTTCTGATTGACAGAAACCAGGACACAGGAACAGTCTGTAATCACTACTGGTTAGTTGCTTTGAGAAAATGTTGTACAAGGTTGTGTGCTTACATAATGTTCTGCATGTTACATTGGGAACATTACTTGACAGCTTTTCATTTCTCATATCGCTGCACTGATGAGCCAGATGAGTAGGAAGCTGGTGCTGTTGTGAAATGATTGGCATGTAATGAGACAAACCGACACTTGTACGATTTGCAGTTTTGGCATTTCTGTCTTTAACCCGTACAGTTGAAAAGGAGGATCAGTCATTGGTTAAACTGATAAAACAAGACATACACAAACGTGACCCCCCTTCCAATGATGCACAACCAGTAAAGATTATACAACCTACAATTACTACGAGTTTATATATATCACATGTTACAGCATGGAACCACATAAACATAACATTAGCTGAGAGGCTTTTTCAAAACAAGGACTTTTTTTTTATTACATTCTTGAGATTTAAAAAAAATCACTGTTACAGTGACCAAAAGTGATCACGGAGGTCAGCATTATTACAGCGATTATTACAAATGAGCTGAAATGATCAGAACTTAAACATTAACATAGAATAACGAAGGCTTCAGCTGTAAATAAGTCAAGTCTGCAGACCATCAGGATGAACACAGCAAATTCAATATCAGTGTTTTCCAATGACTGCATATTGTAACATCAACTCAAAGTGCTTTGTATAAAAAAGAATCGACACAAATTGCAAAAGCAACATAACACAATATGATCCTGGATGACAACAATAGCTGAATATCACTGTAGGACAACCAGTCATTTCTGAAGCACTGATCGTAAAGGAACAGAAAACATGTCTGTGGTGTGATGTTTGAGATGAGAGGTGCTCACATCTCCACCTTTACCTGGACGAGTAGCATTAGCTGCAGGATAACGTGGACGTCAGGGGCCACTGATGATTATCTACAGTAGAGTAGATCTACCAGACAACCAGTTTCACATCCTCAGATAACTGAGCCCTTCACTACAGGCTCACTGACTCCTGGTGCTTCTCTCCATCTCGGAAACACGCAGAGGCCTGATTAGCATTAGCAGGCTAGCGGCTGCACGCTCGCTAGAAAAGGCGACACATGTACAACCAGGCGCAACACACACACACACAAAAAAAACAACACAACACGGCGGATACCGTTCTACAGTCTGGACGCGAAGCCACCAACCGCTAACCGCTCGCACAGCGGTAACATGACAGGCTACGTGGCGGTCTGTTCCCCCGGAAAGCTAACGCGAAGCACCGTGGCGCTATTTTTGGAAAGCGTCGGGGTCTTTGCGTTTCTGTCCCCGCGCCCAAACCCCAGCGGCCTGCGATCGGGCCGCGGAGGCTAACGTTAGCCGCCGTTAAGCTAACCAACGGCTCCGCGGGCCGCGACGGCGACACGGCGGCAAACGGGCAAATATCACACACGTCGAAACCCGCGAGATAAATCAGCCATTTTGTCATCTCACCAGCTCGATGGAGGGGGTGGGTGATGTTTCTGCCTTCTCCTCCTTGTCTTTTAAAATGATTTCTTCGCGACGTTCACCTCCCTCCGAGTCGACCTCACGTACCGGAGAAGCGGAGGAAGGAGCTGCGCGATGAGCCCCGTCACGACCGCTCCCGCCCGGCCACGCCTCTGAAGAGGTACCGGGGAGGTCAACATCCACCGGGGGTCTGAGCTCACCTGTCAGATTATTAGGAACCGAGTATATTTACTTATTTACGTGTCTGCACTTTATGTAATTTGATTTTTATTTTCAGGTACTTTTACTCTGCTACATATATCAGCGAATATTTGTACTTTATACTCGAGTCTTTTTTTTACAGAAGCATTGCGTTAAATGTTCACAATATTATTATATTATTATTATGTCTCTACAGCAAGGAAGTACAACACGTGTGCAAGAACATGGACACATACTAAAAGGACATAGTTATAATTATATAATAGCAAGTACAAGTAGAAAAGTCATTGTGATGATTTACCTCTACTTGATTACATTTTCTCTGTCCATTTTATTTCACGTGGCATTTATATAAATTAGCAAAGGTGTGATGGTGTGTGTGCATCTAAGAATCGATCATTTAGTCCCAATAGACAGACGTGACAGGATCTGTGCAGAGCAGTTCAGTCTTTTCCCAGTATGTGATATTCCAGGAATGGTCTCTCCCTCATCAGCTGTGCCGCCATTATTAAAACGACAACCTACAAGGTAAGAGAGAAAGAAAAGGAGAAGAGGAAATCAACTTCAGAAGGTATAGGAATAATAAGAGGAGACATATGATGTTTTTTTCTCTTTTATATATTCAGGAGCCCCACCTGCAAGTTGGAATGATTGCGTTCTTAGGTTTGTGACATCACAAACTCTGGCTGTTTGAATGTGTGTTTTTTTTCCCGACTGGCATTTATTTACTGCAAATGGCGTTGACTGATTAATTTGATCAAAATATGTCTAATCGTGTAAAAGACATTAGGGGGATGTTTGAAAAAAATATTTTCAGTGGAAAATTTAAGGAACAACAATGTGTGTACAGAAAAAACCGGATGAAGAGTTTCGCACCTCCACCAGAAAAACCACAGGGAAGCCCCAGATGATAAAACTCAGCACAAACTGTAAAGCCATCTCCAACTTCACCTGGCAGCCCTGAAAGAGGGAGAGACACAGGGGATTAATCCCACATCTACGCTGGTATGTTTTATATTCATGAGTACTGAACCTATCTTTATTTCTACCTGCGTGTAAAGCTGCCACGGCTGCTTCACGGTGCCATTGCAGGAAACGAATGTAGAGTTGCAGCAGCTTTGAGGAACTTTGAGCCCCCCGGTGCGATTGAACCAGGAGGTTTTAAGCCAGTCCTTGTAGCCATGGACACCACAACACTGCAACTAAAGGGGATCAAAATACAAAATACCCAGTCACTTGGGCTTGAGTTGCAGAGGTAGCCAATCAGGGTATGCCAGACGTCCCTATCTCTCACGCCTTCCAGCTCCTCCTTGAGGATTTTGAACTGTTCTCAGGCCAGATGGCAGCTACTCTGGGTCCACCCAAGTCTCTCGTGCAGCGAGAGGCGTACATAGAACGTATTTAGAACCTTGGACAATTAAAAAAGTGACCACCTGTAAACATGTTTTTCGGAACGAAAAAACATGAGGCGATGTCACATTTACAAAAGAATATCACGGCCATCACAGGATGTAAATGTAAAGGGCTAGCACTCAGCTATAGCTTGTTTTCATGTCACTACTTCTTGCAGTGTTTATGATAATGAGCACTGGTGAAGTGATACTGTTGCCTCACACCAAGATGGTTCTAGGGTCGAAGCTGATGGCCGACTGGGACCTTTCTGTGTGGAGTTTGCATGTTCACCTTGTGTCTGTGTAGGTTTTCAAGGAACTCCTGCTTCCTCCACAGTCCAAAGACATGCAGCCGAGGGTTGATTGGAGGCTAAATTGCCTGTAGGTGTGAATGGCCTTTTGTCTTTGTATGTTGCCCTATGGTAAACTGTGTCCAGGGTATACCCCATCTTCCGTCTAATGTCAGCTGGGATTGGCTCCAGCCCCACAAAACCCTCAAAATATTTGTTTTCCTACATTTTGCACAAACATGCTTGGGGTATGTGGATGCCTTCAGTCACTGAACTGAACACTCACTTGCTTCTGCGTAGTATCCACAGCTTGAGAGCTGGGGTCGTGGCTGTTTCCTGTGTAATTCTGAAACACTCCACTGAGGGAAGTCGTCTCTGAGTCCAGCTAAACAAAAAGACAGACGACATCAAATACATCTGTAACAAAATAATCCACAAACTGTAATATGTCCAGTACAGCGCGTATGAACCAGACAACTCACTGGTAACTTAACTGATGTTTATTGTACCTTGACAGAGTGGAAATAAGCCAACCCAGTAGCCGTACTTTCCAGACAGAAGACCACGACGAGTAGATAAACTAACTGCAGTGGAGAGGAACACACTTTATTATATACAGTCCAAACACTGTTTGTATGCCCCCATTCATGCATACAGTGACAACCTTACCAGGCCCTGCAGAAAGGTGGAATCCCAGACACTCAGCCACAAGCCGATGCACCCGCTGGCTATGAGGAAAGCAGCGCTGACAAGGGTGAGGATTGCTGGCATGGTAATGTAGTTGTTTGAAAAGTAGAAGCTGCCCTGCCAGTATTTCATCAGCAGATAGACTCCACTCAAGCCCATCACCAACCCCAGCACCTGGTGAGGTGAAAAAGCAAAAAGCTGTTAAATCCAGTATAACTCAACAGACAGAATGCATTGCATCTGTATACACTGATGATGTAAAACACTAGGCTCAACGTTAATTTCCCAAGCAGTCGCAAGTGTGTTGGTCCATGCTTCCTCCCTCAAACCGTGTGTGTGTGTGTGTGTGTGTGTGTATGTGGTTTTTGTAGTGTCAGTAGTAGTAGTAGTATCCAAAAACCTAAATAGTCTCAAAACTGATATAGTCACCACGGAAACGGAGTCAGATGATAGATTAAGAATTTAAGAAAATCTGAGAAAATTAAATAGGCTAATTTTGTGGATTTGGCTTGGGTACCAGAGGGTTGCCGGTTCAAGACCATGGGTATGGAAGGTGGACTGGTAGCTGGAGAGGTGTCAGTTCACCTCCTGTGCACTGCTGAGGTGCCCTTGAGCAAGGCACCTTGCCCCCCAGTTGCTCACGGGGCACTTCTCCTGGGGCTGCCCATCACTCTACTCTACAATCTCTCTCTCCAAAAAATGTGCATGTCTCTGTGTGTGGGGTTGTGGGTTTGAACTGCATGTGTATAAAGTGTAAAGGAAGTTTAAGTTTAAATCTCTTTACAAAGTCACATTATGGGGATTTGTCTTCTTCATGGGGAGAAAATCATGTCACCATAATTGTAAAGCATCAGATTTCAAGATGACGACACATTGGGTTAGGGTTTGATTCTCCAGGAACGAAGGTCAGTGTAATGTTCTGTGACGTCATGGAGATCCGTCTCTCGCTCTCTTTTTCTGTGTGTGTGTGTGTGTGTGTGTGTGTGTGTGTGTGTGTGTTTGTTTTCATATGTCCAGTACACGGACCTGGCCTGTGAGACTGTACAAACAGTACAAACACATTCACTCACAACAAACAGCAGATTAATCCCACTCACCTTTTTCTAAACTCAAGTTTGCATTATTATAAGAAACGCACATTTGAAGTGTCGAGAGGAACAGAAGCATCTGAACCAACAGAAGCAGAGAAGCGTCACTCACCGCCAGCAGCAGACAGGTCAGCTGAAGAGTCGTGCTCACTGCTTTTCTGCTCTGCTCGCTCATTTTCACGCGTCCGGAGCGAGCGGAGGAGAAACCATAACCCAGCAGTTGTTTGGAGACAGAACTGTAGTTTGTATTTGATGGGAGGAAGAGAAGGGAGTCGAAGTCACGTGTTTTTGTTTTTTTTATATCGCTGCAGACTTTGTTTCCGCAACACAAGCTTTCCAGAAGAACGCGGAAATGAGAGAGAAGCGTTTTATGACCACAGGAGGGTCAATTCAGTTTATTGTCCCATGAGAAACATGAACTGCATCCTGCTCAAGTTAAGAAACACCTAAGATTATTATGACCACAACAACTATACAATAATCTACATGTTAAAATCACTGATAATAATGATATCAATAATAATAATCTTATGATAAAATAATACAAATGTAGTCATATTAACACTAACATATATAATACTAGGGAGTATAATAAAAGAAGAACACTAGTAATCACCATCATAATAAAACAATAATAATAGTAATAATGATAACAATGAAAATAATCATAAATAGAATGACAAAACACTACTACAGCTGACTGATAATAATTCGTTTATATATGTAGTTTTCTTTACCTCGTTTTGTAAAGCAACTATTTATGACTGTAAAAGGCAGCTAATTTTGTTCATGGTAAATGATGCAGTTCTGCCACTCTACATTTTTGTACTTTTATTTTGATGAGCACCGTTCTTCTTCTGTAAAAATTCATAAGTTAAGTTTACTAAAAATGATTTGTACAAAGTTTAAAATGTGAACATGGTTCTATGCAATATCTGTGAAATATGGTACTATGGCATTTGTATTTTTGTGTCCATTGTATAGTTTTCACAGCGTCAAAATGTCGGTGGAGAAAAGAGGAGAGAATTCAAGTTGCACCAGTCGAAGCTCTCAGCATCTTGTGTGATTAATCCAAGTGGGCCGCTACAATGCCATATATACGGGTTACTTTCCTCCTGTGAATCGATAGTGTGCTCAGTGAACCAATCCTTCATTTCATGGTCTGCTGCAGAAACTCACAGCTGCAACAAACTGTGCCTGGTTTGAGAACTTCTGTATCAGTGGCGCCCACTTCTTTACAGTAATCCCCTGCATTCTCAGGCTGAACTCATGACTTTCAGAGTGAATTCAGGTTCTGATCCACTGCTGCTGAAGTGACCTGGGGTACCACGTCTGCTTATCAGCAGGTTTCTCCAGGTACCAACTGGGATCATCATCACCGCCTGTAGTGGCTGCTCAGAGAGACTTGAATTTACATTGTGTATATGCAGTTAAGTAAGTTTAGATTAAGTTAAGTAAGTTTAGATTTCATTTAAAAAAAATAACTGTCACGCTCACGAATGAGGTTTTGCTAATAAAGTTTGTATTGATGCATAACACCACAAAGTGTTTGATCTTGAATCTTCTCACATGGTTTTAAATCTTCACTTGATGCTCCTCCTCTGTGCAGATATCTTGGAATTTAAATCAGCTGGTAAAAATAATTGAATTAATTGGTAAGAACAATGATGACACATTAGTGATCRTTTTATCAAGATTGGAAACATGCTTCCTTTTCAGCGAAGCAAAACCAATGATAGAAATAACTAACGGCCAATATTTGTCTGTCAATGTGACTGTTAATGTAATCATTAGATCTTATTAAATCTCAWTTTMAAATGATTCCTCTAAAACTCAACTCAACTAATCATCATTGAATAAAACTGTGTGTCACAACAAATCGGTGTCTTTTTTTTTGCTTTCAACATTTTACACATTGCAAAACCTCCATTCTTGATCATTCCAGTGTCAGAAAGTGCAGGAGATGGTTTCAGTTGTGTCACTTCTCTGCACGTCAGTGGAGATACAACATATCAAGCATTAAAACATTGATTTCAAAATCTAGAACAAGAAACTGGA